GTTCTAATCCCTGGTCGAGTCACTGCTGAAAAGTCTCAAACAAGGACGAAACAGCTGTCCAGTGGCTGTCTTATTCAAGTCAGTTGGTGATCAATCTTGAAATCAATCAAATCCCTGAAAACCAACAGTTGAAAACTTGACAACTTTCTTAACACTTTTATCCAATACTAATAACACATAAATGTTATCCAGTTTTTCTAGCTAATAATATTTCTTTTTCAACAGCTTTAACATTCGAATACTTACAGTATCACAAGTATTTTATGCATATGGAGGTGGATTGAACCTTTGTGGTGGTGTGATATAGACAATGGATTCCAACGGAATATTATTCTCACAGTAAGAATCATTGTATTTGTTGATGTTATCGTCTGAATACTATTCCCACAGTTTAATACTGCATTAGCAACAGGATACTATATAAGTATTTGAATATTCTATTACATGTCGTTTAATGTAAATCAAAATCACATGCTCAGTGATTGCTGAAAGAATATAGACAGTATAGATATAAATAGCTGTTTGATCACTTGAAAATATACTTTTGCTTCCGTGTCTTGCCTTCTGCTGTTCCAACCTGACTACCCAAACTTTGGTAGGCAAAATGGCGTTCGAACTTATGCTTACTGAACTAGACTGAATTTCCAACTTAAAACTGCCTAAAAGTGGAGAAGTTGCTCTAATAATAACTGAAAATCGAACGTTTGATAAAGTTACACAGTCACATTTGTAGTACATATAAATCACCTGATACAGACTTATGATCATTTTTACACAAACGTATTTGAAGGTTCAGAGTTGTGTATTTGTGATTAAACAATATTAATCCACAAACATGAGCATCAAGCAAACTGACCAACCAGTAACACAAATGAGTGAAATTTTCTCTACTTGTCTCAGAATACTCTAATGTTGAAGAAGTTTTATACATTTATATATATATATATATATATATATATATATATATATATATAACTTTTTGGATCCTATACAATTTCCTTCTGAAAACTTTAGCTACAACAGATGAGCTTTTTTCTAGATTGCCTACCTTCTTAGGGTCTATTAGTCTAGATTTCAGTATTGTGCTCCTGTAATCTAATCGACTCTAACCTGCTACTTTGACGTATGTATTTGACCTCATAATCAATGTAGGGTAAAAGACAGCTGAACCAGACACTTGAAAAATTTCCATTACATTTACGATGACTCAGTGGTAGGATGATCTCCATCCATGCACGTGGTCCAAGTTTCGATTCCCGACAGAATCACTCCTAAACCTAATCTAGTCTTCTAGCCGACGGTAGGGCCCGAAAGACAGGGAAAGTTAGGTGTGAGGCTAGCAACCCTCACTCTGTTAAAAAATCACGGCTACTGAAACGTCAAGGCGCCAAGTCTAAAACGCGCGATGTTCCAACCGGAAGGCAAGGAATGAAAAAGAAAAGTTGTGATATAACCAACCGACAAATTAATATAGAATCACATAACATAACAGTGCCAAAGTGTCACGTATACAGTAATAATCGCTAAGTTTTGGTTAGTGTTCAAACATGAATAGGAAGATGGGGTTATTAGGAAGATGAGGTCATAATCACAGTTAAACATTAAGTGATAAAATAGGTTGTGTACTTATTCAAATGGTTTATGGAGTGTATAAACCTTAGGTTTAGACAATTCAAACATTACGCAACAAGGTGAGAATCATCATAACATTGCTGTAAATTATACTGAATTAGACAAATAAAGGTGACAAGTGAGATAATACAGGAAATTATTCAAAGTAAGAGATATAATAACAATTGAAACAATAAGGGATAGATGATATACACAGATTGAATGAACAAAATGAGAAATACATGTGGTCAAGGTCGAAATGAAAATTGTAATAGTTTAGCAGTGAACGGATTAGGATCATGAAAGAAGGAGTGGTTTATTCACTGCCATTTGACTCTATTTAGCACAACATGTATTCCAGGTTCCTAATCAGAAAACACATTTCAAAGACTTATGTTATTTAAATTAATTTGAAATTCCCCTTATACCTTCAAAACTATCGAAGTAATTGCAATGTAATGCTTCCTACTTTTCCATCCAATAAGGTTTCAGAGTTTCAGCCTAGTGGATAACGCTTTCATGTTTGGAGCAACGGATACTAGGTTCGAGTCCCAGTAGGAACATTATCACTCTCATTGGGAATACGGGTATATCCAGCCGACGAGTCACATATAGGATGAAACATGCGTCCTTAATCCTACTATTAGACACCATTAAATAACCAACTAAAAGAATCAAAATTTCTTTCTTAGTTTAAAAACCTCTACGTCCACTTGAATAGAATCTGTGGAATGAATTACTTGACTTATGTTGCTACACTTACGAAGAGAAGTAGAACCTGATGAAGAATTTATCGAAAAGAGTTCTCTTTGTTCAGTGTCTATTCTTTTGAAGAGAAGAATCTTTTAAATTTCTTCATCTGGGAATACAACTAGTAATTCCGGTCTTCTACTTAAAGAAGGATTTTTTAGTTAAGCTATTTAGTTAAGTTATATCACGACACGAATTAAGAGCTGGATATGTGAAGAAAGTAAGGTATTGACAAAATGTTTATACTACTTAATACGCTACTTATGCTGGATAAAGTTTTCAGTGAAAGTTTATTCAGTAAATGCTTGATAAAAGCGATTTATATCTCAAGAAGGTGATTTTAGTAGAATTGTATTCTCCAATCCAAATGCTTCAATCACAAAGCTTACGTCGTGACTGCAGACAGAAACTTTACTAAAGATATAAGCTTTCAAAATCCTATACAACTAGAATAATAGTTTCTTTTAATGGCCTTGATCATAATTAGGCTGCTTTCAAAAGTTTATCATCATTCTTTTTAGTAATTATTGCCTCTTTTTTGAAGTTGGTACTGAATGTTGTTTAGAATAATAATAATATTATTATTCCCTTGGGTTTCAAGTAGAACATAGGGCTTTAACAACACATCTCCACTTCTATTCTCTGCCATCCTCTTCAGCTGGCTAGCCACACGATTGCCCATAATCTCTCATCTCCTTCTCGACGCACGATCCTCCATGTCAACCTCGCATCGACGACCCACTCATTGCTTCTCATTGGGATTTCACTCGAGTGATGGCCTGCATTGCGCGCGATATCATTCGACAGCCTCCTCAATATATGCCCGATCCACCTCCATTTTCTCTTACATATTTGTCGAGTAATGGGCTCTAGGTTGGTTTGTTGCCAATTCCATCTGGACATTTTGATCTTCAGTATGGAGCAGGCGAAGAAAGCTGTTAATAAAAGATTGTATCTTGTTGGAAACCATTTTCGTAATACACAGTGATCCGTATAGAAGAACCGACTTGACATTTGTGTTGAAAATCCGAATCTTGTTCTTTATGCTAAGACAGTGCAGAAGATTTCCAAACCGGTTTCAGGTTGATGAAGGTGTATCTTACCTTTCCGATTCTGACTTTGACATCTTCATCCGTTCCACCTGTGGTTTAAACGATGCTTCCTACATAAGTGGAGGAGGTGACCTCTGTCAAATCTCCCCCTTTGATGGTGATTGGTGCCGGTTGTTGTTGTTGGTTGGTTATCTTTATCACCTCCGTCTTCTTCATGTTCACCTGGAGTCCTGTTTTCGCTGCTTCTTCAGCCAGTTTGTTGGTTTTCGCCCGAAAGTCTTCGAGTTTTTGTGGAACTAAACATATCGTTTAGAATGAAAATGTAACCTTTCCGATTAAAATATCCCGGGAAAAAGACAATCTTCAAGACATTCACTTTGTTTTAAGAATTATTCCAAAATGAATGCACACAGTTAACAAGGGATTCTATGATAAAATAAGGGGATGAAAAATTCTCCATGTGGTGTCATTCTAACATTATAAGATTCTTTTATCAGTAGAGTGAAAAAAAAAATCAGACAAAATCTGATATTCATCTTCATTTTATTCCTATGAGTTCGTTCCCAAAGGATCATAGGGCTTTAAGTTCGAGCTTTGAAGTTCCAGTAGCAGTGGTGCGCATTTTACGGGATGAGGTTGCTAGCCTCATGCCCGACCTTCTCTCTTTACCTTGATTACTACCAGTTAAGGGTGGTAAAAGAGTGCGTCAACCAAGGATTGAACCCCAGTCCACTAGCTGATATAGGGTCAGGCTGGAAAAGAGCTAGCTGCGGTCAAACCAAAAAATGGAACCAGTCAATGAAATCTACAACAGTTAGTCTAAGCCACGTAGGAAGATGTAGACTTCCTGGTTGGGGTCCTCGGGACAGTAAAAACCAATGGTTGGAAACAATTGGTGACATGGCTTAAAATCGTTCTCAGTGGCTGGCGCAGATGCATCCACTCCTTGTGACTTATGATTTCCAATGAAACTGTTTTGTTCTTCGTTATTACTATACCTTTGTCTCATACCTCTTTTTACTGTCTTTATTATGCATTTCTCCCACTTTCTTCTCTTGCTTTGTGTGCTACATGGAGTGTAGCGACTTGAACTGCCGCACATATGTGCAAAGTTCTATGTCGGAAACAGACAGACAGACCAGTCCACTTGCCTGGTTGGTCAGTGTCCTACCACTGAACTACCGATTTACGGACAAATTTCTGAACCATTATAAAATTTTATAATCCCTGATCTTGTACTCTTTTTGACAAAATGACTGAAATGTACAGACCCATATCTTTGAATATGAAGGTGGAATTTTCACCAATCAAAAAAGTCCTAAACATTTGACTTGCACATGAAAATCTACTAAACAGCTTAAATGATGTACAAAAAATAAATAAGAATAAGATAAATTAAGATTAAATTATACCAACCAATCTAAAGAACTTAAATTATGAACTTTACCAGGAAATATAACTTTTAGACATGAAAAAATGCGAATATTTTGTAAGGAATTAGTTTAAAGAACAGGCTATGAGTAACTGTAAACTTCAAATATGAAGTAATTAAAAATCGATAACATTTATTATTAAGACGATACTTACCGAACAAGCTGCTTGTAGGGGATGAAACTGGATTTGTATTATTAGACTGTAGGTAAGTGAACTCTTGTTTGCAACGAATTTGACCGAATTCTAAAGTATTAACACAAATAGGATATCGCCCAGCTGGTAATGGAGGCATATGAATACGAAGTTGAGAGCGATCAGGTTGATCAGATTCTTGAAAAATCCAGTCTTGTCGAGAAACTTCATGATCATCAATAAAAACAGAAGCTCCTTGCATATTTTGATTAGTAAGGCTACGACAGTAAACTGTGAGTTCAGTACCGCCTGAAAAAAAAGCAGAACATTAAAATACGTTTGGTTGTAACATAAATTCCCTTGAAATATACAATAAATTTGACTTTATAACTGACTGCCGCCAAATAGCACAATGAAAAAACATAACCACATAGAATTTGTACGAGTTAGGTATAACTGCACTTGGAATGTACTCAGTGTAAAGGTTTACATGACTACTTTATTAAACATAATCTCGGATGTTCCTTATTTATGATGTTTCCATACCCAGATCATACCAGCCAATTCAGTATTACTCTACATTTGTCAGACCAACAATTACCAGAACAGTGTTCTGATATCCTGGATTCTTAGTTCGACCACTAGCGATGTCGTGGATTTACACTCTTGATAATTTCCAAACTAGGACGAAACAGTTAAACAGTGGTTTCTAGTTTTCTTCAGCTCGAATACAGAAGGCTCGTTTCGCATTTGCCAGTTTACACCGTCTCTGGCGTAGACGTGATATCCGACTATCGACCAAAGGGCGTGTATACTGCTCATCAGTCCGCTCTGTGCTCCTTTATGGCTGTGAAACCTGGCCATTGAGAGTGAAGGACATGAAAAGGCTGGCTAGCTGTATTTGATCATAGGTGCCTGCATTATATCTCCCGTGTGAAGTGGTATAATAGGGTGAGCAATATTGAGATTAGGCATCGGTCGAGTGCTAGGTAAGGAGGGGAAATCAATAGACGAGGCTGTGAAGTTACATCGACTGAGATGGTTAGGACATGTGTTACGTATGCCTAGTCATCGCCTTCGTCGACGGGCAATGTTAGCTGACATAGAGTCAGTTCGGGAAAGAGCGACTGGTGGTCAAACCAAAACATGGTATCTGTCGATGAAATCCACAACAGTTAGTTTAAGCTAAATAGAAAGGTGTGAACTTTCTGGTTGGCGTCATCGGGACGGTTAGAAAAAACCAATGGCTGGAGACAATTGGTGATATGGTTCAGAATCGTTCCCAATGGTTGGTGCAGATGCATCCACTCCTTGTGACTTATAAAATCCATTCTTCCATATTACTATTCTTTTTGCCCCATATCTCTGTTTACTGTCGCTGTTTTGCATTTCTTTTCACTTTCTTCTGTTGCTTAGTGTCCTAAGTGAAGTGTGACGACTCAAATTGCTGCACATCTGTATAAAGTTCTACGTTGAAACTAAGTCAGTCAGTTTTCTAACTGCTTTTGGTCCATAAATAAGTCTACCTTGGTGTCATTGATGTTTAAATCTGTCTATAGATAGCTTGAATGAAATTAGCCGTCAATATAAGAAGTATTTGGATTTACAATTGAAATGTATGTATTATAAGGTTATAAACTAGTCTACTCTTCTTTCTTAAAATCACTGAAAGGTTAAGTCACATCAATAGGCTAATTCCATCGATTTCCCAACATCGCACATTATACGGAGAATGGAATAAATCGTTGTAAAGACATACATTTAAAAAGCATATGCCTTACCAGTAGTGAAGTTTTCAATCTACAGAGGCCTCTTTTATATGTGAATAGAAGAACGTTGTACATTCTAAGTCAGATGTTAGTGGAGAAAATCTCGAATTAAAAAGGGCTGGGAATGGTTTCCTCTTTATTGGGGGGGGGGGGGGTTGATTACTTCATACTTTAAAAACTTGGATTTCTATACATCATTTGTATGTTGTTTGGGTGGATTTTAATCACCCGATTAAAAACCCTAGCGGTTTACGTCTGTCTGTCTGGATTCAACATAGAACTTGGCACCGAAGTGCAGCAGTTCCAGTTGCCACGTTACAAATAGCACACAAAGGTAGACAAGAAAGTGAGTGAAGAGAATCAATAGAGTTTTGACAAGTATAAGAGTGAAACAGAATGAGTAATGGTAGAAAGGAATATGAAAGATTACAGAGACTGAATACATCTGCGTAAGCCATTGACAACGATTTTGAGCCATATGTCACCTATTGTCTCCAGCCATTGATTCCTAGAGTCCCGAGGGCCCCAACCCGGAAGTCTGCATCTCCCTACCTGACTCCGTTTAACTGTCAAGGATTTCATGGATTGATGCCATGTTTTTGTTTGGCCACCACTTACTCTTTCCCAACCTGCACCTAAATCAGCTAGTAATGCCCTTCGGGGGAGGCGATGGTTTGGCATACGCAGGACGTAACCTAACCATCTCAATCTATGTAACTTTATAGTCTCGTCGATTGATTTTCCCTCTTTGCCCAACACTCTACGCCTAACGTCAACATTACTTACCTTATTATACCACCTAACGTGAGAAAGAGATCGTAGACATCTATGATCAAAACCAGACAACTTTTTCATATCTTCAACTCGTATTGGCCATGTTTCAGAGCCATAGAGAAGAATGGAGTGAACTGCTGAGCAGTACACACGTCCCTTGATTGATAACCGAATGTCACGCCTACGCCAGAGATGTAAGTTAGTGAAAGCAGCTCGAGCTCTTTGAATCCGTGCTCGATTTACATCAGTGCTATATAAGTCAAAATAAGAAACCTAAGAGTAGTCAAAACAAGACACGTCTCAATTTAATGATGGTGTAAATAAACGTGAATGCAAGAACCTGAGGTTACAAACTTTGTGTAATCTAAACGGAAAGAGAAGTTTCATTTATATTTATCTTATATTTTAAAATTCACTTAATGAATATAGTTTGTAATTAGGTTTTACCTGCCTTAGGCTAAATATTATTACAACAATAGTGAAAAAAGACATGCGCTTACCCGAAGATGGACCACATTTTGGAGCTATTCTGATTAATTCTGGTCTAGTTTTTGGTGGTTCATTTAAATCTTTAGAATTATCAACTATATTGGAAGACAGTAGTTTGCCATTTTGTTCTGAAGATGGTGGTTGCGGATGGATAGATTGACTTACAGTTGCTAATGGTGACGAAGGATTAATCGGTTTCTCATTGGTGAAATGAAGTGATTGTCGAGCTAGCGGATTAAAATCACTACCCGTTAATTCACTATAAGCACCTAGTACACTTCCATCTTTTTCATCAATCACACCAACATCGTCATGAGAACTTTGAAGATAATAATCTTGAGAAGAAAGAATATAGGGAATAAGATGATTAATAGTTTAAGTAAAACAAAATATCTTCATTCAAATTGCAAAACATATAATTTTATTGGTAGACTTCACATTAAACATTGATATTAGTAGAAAAACAACTAAGATTGAAGAAAAATTCGGTTGCTATCACACGTAAAATAAGAGAATCAATGCTTAGAAATCACACTTTGTTAACAGCCAGGTTTCACCTTTATCTGTTTATTTATCAAGTATCCTGATCATCACTTTATGTGAACGAGACACGCTTATTTCTTTATTTTCCACATAACTCGACTTAGCTGACTGCCCATCCCATATTAGCGCAGTAGGAATGAAAAGAAGGATACTTCATACTTGAGAATTGCACTATTTAGTATGTGTAGGGATGTCATATTAGATAATTTTATACGATACTTTCTTGTTGTAAAATACAGCAATCTGCCAAAATTCAACTGTTTGATAATTATGACTGTAATCAGAGGAAAAAGGTTGTATGTTTTGCGTTGTAGAAGCCTACAAGAGAACTAGTGGTCAGAACAAACCCACAAAGGTCTAAACATTCACCGATTGTTAAATATGTAACACATGGAAGTGTTCGCGTTCCGAGTCTTTATAGTAGAGCTGTGAAAAGTCTGAAATATTATGTCAAAGACATGCATACATAGTCTGATGTTAAACCATTAAGACTAATCCCTTTTAAACCATTCAAAAGTGAGTTGACAGCACAAGGCATATCAACAGGCGTTTCGAATGCAATACGGTATGGCTTATAGCATCAGTTCAAAAGTTTAGACTATATAAAGCTTTAATCACGTAGAAGTTGTTAATTCATAGTAAAGTATGCATATTGAATTGTAATTTATGAATTATTACAGTCCACATTTTCTTTACTGCATTTAATCAGGAGGTGAACCAATTAGTTTAATATATGAAAATTATGTTACACTTATTAATTTACCAAAAAACGAATATTTATTAGGAGAAAATATAACAAACAATCCAAGCTGTAATGTTATATCATCAAAGTCGATGAATTTTACATTATTTGCACTGTAAAATCCAGAATAATAGAAGTTAATATGACTGCACGCTATAAAATGATACATAACAATCCTTAAGACTTCAGATCTACATATCAACAATTATAATACCCTAAAAACGCATCTACATAACTTAGATTAAAGATCAATAACCATTCAACTACTGCATTCAATCTTTAGTTGGAATATTGAGGATGGTCTCATTAGTAGTTACCATTAGGACCTACCTAAAGTCATGCCATAAAATCTGTAAATTCCACCAACTAAAAACAATCCTAGTTTACCTTCAAAGAAACTACTTCCAATGCAGAATTAATATTTACGGCAAACGGGTGGTAATATCGTGTCTAAACTTAGTGATTCCAATCAGTCATATGTTTAAGAAGTTTGTTGGTAAGTTATTTAGTTAGAATAGATTTTTTCACTTATCAGCCTATAAGTTAAAACTGTTGTCTGAGAGTTGATGATATCAATCAGTTACCGTAAATGGAGCAAGTGAAATGAAATTCGAAGTTAGTATGCACTGTGTTAAAGTCAAATACCTCAGCCAACGAGTCATCCCTACTACATAAAAGCTTATAGATTTCTTTCGAACCGAATGTGAATAAAGCTACAGTTGATAGACTTTTCAAGAGAAAACAGTAAAGTCAATGATTGTTTTACTACTGTCTACTAGATCATATTTAATTTTAAGACTAACAAGTTATGTATGTTCAAGGCAAACTACTTTAAGAACAAATTTAGTCGTATTTTACTGCAGCTAGCTGATTACTTCACTTTTAAGAATATAAAATACCCATAAACGTTACAAAATAAGTAATAAATTGACAGTAAATATTTTAATCATGTTAACCAGACAGCAACGTTAAAATAATACATGCTTCTGTATGTTTGTGTTACTTAATACAAATAGAGCCGCCTAAAAATTATTGCCACCACTTTTCTAATACTTCACGAGGACACAAACATTATTGATATATCTCATCAATAAAAAATTTTTAAAAAAACATACCGAACGGATTATATCCACTGATCACTGTCTTTTTAGTAGATACTGGAGTTATGGGTGAGTGAGTGGACGAGAGTGCAGCTGCTGCATGCAGAGCTTGTGATGCTTTCTTTTTATACCACGACTTTTTATCCTTTGAATCACCATGATTGGAAGACAGACTTATAACACTGCCGCTATAATTTAGTGAGTTAGGTACTGATGCTTTGTCTTTGTGATGTAAGCTAGAAATTAAAATACAAAAGTTACTTGAGATATTTTACAGTCACTGTACAATTGAAAGAAAGGTGGAATTCACATCAAATATACTGACAAAGTTTCATAACTACTTTATCTGAGCCACACGAACGTAGTTTAACATACAAAGTCAGAACTCAGTCAGCTAGAAGAGATTTTTCATGGATGATGCCATGAACTGCAATCATAGTGTGAGCTGATGATACCACCCGGTAGTCCATACTAAAATACACTGAATGGGATTCAAACAGTAAACTCATTGGCCGAAAACAATAATTCTGTAGTCAGTGGGCTACATCCTCACAAACACTGAGGGTATTATTATTATCTCCTTAGTGGAACAAACACCATGCAGAAGATAGAAAAATCAAAGCGCACAGGAGTAGGAAGATGAATTTAGCAAAATGAAGAGCCACTGTCCTAAAAAGCTGAGTTTTAAGAATACGGCAAAATCAGTAAGGTGTGAATGAATACCAAGGCCAAACGTCTGGAAGTTATGTACAATATGTCATATAGCAGTAGTGTCACATCCAAATATTCATCAAAGCGTCATAAATAACGTTTAGAGAAGTAGTCAAGGAGAATTTCTTACCCGAAAAATAAGAGATATTTCCGAAACTTAACCAATGAACAATGCCTGAATGCACTCAGGCTGTTTTATTTCAGTGAAATTCAGAAACAAATTTTTCGTACTTTTTTACGGTGAGACGCATAAATACCACCTTTTTAATTTGTTGGAGGTTTAGTAGACGCTGTCGTGCAGTCGTTTTGAGATTATTTACCGCGTTACTTAGTTCGGAAATATTAGTAAATGACCAATATGGCCTTTGAGAGTCTTTGAGTTAATTAGTCAACTTTATTTTTGGTTAAATGTATCCTAGAAACGAAACTTAGGTCAAAACTCAAAATGAATTATTAAGACGCTAAAGTGCTAACTCATGAAAATACTTTTCTGGTTACTATATCGTTGACATACCACCATTATTACTGATTTAAAAATACCAGATAAACCTCACAGCGAACTTTATCTCAGCATCTCCAATGCTTTAAATTCCGTCGTCAATTTTAGGAACCTCCGAATTAATAATAACAATATTAGTAACAAGACACCTTCATATTTAAGGTGCCCGACAACTGGTCAATATCAACTGAAGACACTAAATACATACGCAAGTATTCAATACCCTACTGTTAAAAGCGAAATGTTGCTCATTTTGAGTTCCAATTCTACCGGAATATCGAGCGCTAAAAATTTCAGTTTATTTGAGAGGTAGAACTATGTACCAGTAACTCAGTCTTCATCAGCTAGCATTTTGAAAGTTTCGCTCTTGTTAAGTTGGTTTCTTTTCCAGAAAGGGATAACCTACAGCCTTACACTGTGCGGACAAATCATAGAGAGACACGAGTTGTAGGGAATACAAACATTATAAACACTGAAGACCACATTTTGAGATTTGACAAGGTAAGATTCTGACTTTCAAAAATCAAAATGAACGAAGCACTTTTATACCTTTCTCACAAAATAGACAAAACTGAAGATATAAATATAAATGAGCAGCCTACTGTGCAGCAGATGGTACCACTTAATAAATTTTAAAGACTGAAACATAAATTAAAACTAACCTTGATAAGCTTAAAACAGAGCCCCTAGAACTTCTACTTTTTGAATCTTCGCTGCGATACTCCTCAACCCAAATCCAAAAATACAACCTTCCAAAACCAACTTCTGTCTTCTTAGTTTGCTCCATATCCATGATACATAGTCGTGAACTGTCAGTAGGTCCAACGGAAAATTCTGTTATTTTTGGTGGAATGGCCGCTCCAGACACAACCACTTGACCTGCATGGTTGTCTTCAGAATCTGCAACTAAGAGTACAACCGGGTCTCCACGTGTTGCAATTTTACTGTAACATAAGATGATTCTATTACACCAATATTTTAAAGACATACATTGTTGTTTCGAAATTCCAAATAGGATTGCCGTCCGGTGCAAACACAGCTTCTGAGGTGACTTTTTTCTTTCCACCCAAAACAACCACTTTCCATTTGTGACTAACTTTTTCTTTAAAAAAGAAAAAAGTTCAAAATATGTAATTAACTTACTTTGTTTGTGGTCAGAACGTGGGGCCACACGAAGGTTTTCAGCCTTAAGAACTAAAAGAATTGATAATGATATGTTCAGAAAGCCAACCTCTCACAGTTACTTCCTTAGGATGGCGTATATTTGGTGCTAACATGTCAACTACGTTAAATTTTGAACATTCTTCAAATTCATTGCCACGACGAAGATAAAAAGAGAAAGATACAAACACCACACTGCTCAATATTCAATTTCACAGAACAAAAAACTGGGAGGATATAAATACTTGAGTTCTACTTTATACACGTTAAAAATGATATTTATTTTGTACAAATGTGTTGCATCTATCATATAAACTAACGTCTTTGTTTATTTTGGTTGTTGGAAGAAGACTCTAAACTTTTCCCCAGGCATCGTTGCTTGTCTAATTCTTGCTTGAAAGAGTTGAATGAAGAGGTAAATACCACTCCTGGAGTTGCTTTCAAGATGTAATGACTACGTGGGTGAACAAATACTGTAAATTCAAATATTGACTTCACGTCCAGATTTCAAACATTTTCATTAGAACGGGAGGCACCGGGCCTTTTTTAACTCTTTTCTAATAGATGCTTGAATTTCTCACTTTTTGAGTGTGCATATGCCACTTCTTCTGGGAGTCGGTTCGCTGTTTCATGACTCGGTAAGCGAACTTGTGTCCCCCAGAGATGGAGTTTCTCCTTGGCTTCTGAACTCTGCTGTTGTGTTCCGCAAGATGTTTCGACCTGGTTGGAAGGGAAAATAGGGATGGATTACATTCACAGTCATTTCTTGGAATTTCGAACGTTATCATGAAATCTCTCTACCTACTAAATGACCAACATAAGAAATTCGAATCGCTAAGTGTTTTCCTATGGGATATGGCTGGACTTATTTGTCACGTTGGTTGAAATTTCGCTTCGAAAAAATTTTTGTCCATAAAATTTAATGAAATTGTGTTATATGTCATCTGGATTGATGGAAATTCTCATTTCCTGACTAGTTATGCTAGTGTCTGCGTCATGTGATCTCACTGCCACACACTCTTAGCATATTGGTTGCAATGAATAGTGTTTTAGGCGGACTGCGCCAAAATAGCACTATAATGAGCAAGACGGGTTAGTTGGATGGTAACGTCATCTACGCAAATAGTTTATTGTATGTAGAAGCTGCACCTTTCGACATAGTATCATTTAATGAAGACTTCATGTCTCAGGATATCAATGTGGCTATTTTCGTGTGAAGAACAGTCCTTTTTGGAAAAAGAATGCTATCAGTTCATGGAAATCATCTGCAAATGCTAAGAGAACCTTCTGTGGGAACAGAATTCATCATGTAGATGTGTCTTTCACCGTATGTGTGTTTGGACCCGAATTATCATAAGTTGAAAGGTTAAGTCTAAGTGGATTTAATATATATTTGCACTAATCGGTGCAGTGTAATATGGGTTATGTGGATCCAATGTATAAAAAATATCTCAGTTTTAATAATATTATGCTATTGTCTGCTTAGCTGACTGCCAGGCTAAGAAACGTAGGTGGTTCTCACGATTATCGCAATTGCAGTGCAGTGGAGAAAGCAATTACTCGTTAGAATTCCCTCACTGTTTCGCTTAATGCATTAATTCAGTATAAAGTATGATTATTATCAATCTACTGTCTGTTATACCATTCTCGCTGACACTGTATACGGTCCTATTGCTGGATATGATGGTCATACCAATAACCATAAATGTGGTCTTCTTTTAAACAGTTTATAGAATACATAAGTCCGTCTTCAGATAGGTGCCGACTATCTGGATTCAGTTTTCCAGCTTTTTGACATGTCTATATATATGTGCATGTATACATATATATATCTTTATAAAGAGAGAGACTGAACGAGAGACAGCAGCGAACACTTCACTTTTGATCCTAGTAAAGTCACTGCACTCCGCCGGTTAGAATCAGGAACTTTAAACTGCCACCACGCAACAGTACGTCATGGTTTCTGGGTCACCACCCATTATGACATTCGGGTCCACCTGCGCCTGTGTCATATTATCTGACAACTATTTGCCCAATACGCATAATTTCACCCTTCGCTAGACCAGCCTAGTGGCTTGTTGAGGTATCTTTGTAGCGCGGGCATGTCGCCATCACTCCCAAGCTGTCTACAAGATTTTTGTCAAATTCATAAATAAAGATTGAAGACTGAATCATCCCAAATAATTCATTGATATACAAGATAAATAAGAGGCAACTTAGTACGGTGACTTGTAATACTTGTAATGCCACATCACGTGCTGTCGTCCAGCAAGGGATTTTCGGGTTGATTCCGACTACTCGTCTCAAAACTATGAGGAATCCCTTAGTCCACCTTAGCAAGCCCTCTCCATTCAGACATTGTTCATTTCATGAGCAATCCTGTGTGAGGCACTTCACCAAGTTTTACTGAAATTTATGAAAACGACGTTGGAGTATTTCTTGTTGTCGCTGGGATTGACTCAGCTCACAAGTGATGTCTATCAAGCACAAGGGGTTCACTGTCAGATGTCCTGTCCTCTTGACAACAATGATATAATATAGTAATAGCAATATAATGGTATACATTTATTCCTGCCTGAACAGGGACACACCAATTGAACAGGCATAAATAAATATTATTTAAATTACACAAATGTGGTTCACGGTGAATTTACATGGTTTCTATAGGTTTGTGAGAACGATTCGCTGACTAGTTAGCCAGTGGGGTACTTTGAGAAAACAGGAATATCGTTTTCACATTAACAAAATACCAGGTGCGTATTCGATGGATCACAAATACTAGGGAAAAATAAGGCTTGAAGTCACTTCTCCCATATAGCTTTGCTGTAAATAGTATCGAATCTTCTTGATTTATAGTAAGACGGTTTAACAACTAATATGTGTAGTGCATCCGTGTCATCCCCTTAGCAGTAGCGTCGTAGGGTAACATTAGAAGTGAATTATACTCCATGAAGACGAATATCGGCCATAGCCAGACAGATTTGTTTAACTGCACCAGTGTAAGCTATTACCGCTATTTGTAGCTGCATGTTCTTTACGAGTAACTTAATTAAGACGTAGAAAACTGTTTGGAAACCACCTGAATATTTATCATAGATCATGGATACTGCTCGTACAGAATGTTTTTCAGCGTCTTGATATGGTAAAATGTTGAGTGATTATGAGCCAACAGCTTGTATGATTCAAGATTTACATCTTGGTCCTGTGATGGGGCTGCGGAAATTATAGCATTTATACCGAGTTTGCGCACGTATCGTCGAGTTGGATTTTTCGCCTAGGACATTGCACCGTCCATGAACTTAAGCGTGAGCAGAGCATGACCAATTTTTTCTTAGGGGTAGAAGGTGTATGGGGTTCGGAAGTTCACTTTGGGCTAAGCCAGGTCTAGGTTCGAGTAGGAGCGTCCCTCAGGCGTCTCTCATGTACAAAAATGAGAATATATTATTATTATCATAACTTGGCATACCATAATGGAGCCAAGGAAACAGCGGGTCATCACTTTTTAGCAAAAGGAACTGTCTGAGGACGGTGCTGTCAATTCGATCCGGTAAGGCCTCGAACTAAGAGTTTTTCCTACTTAGGTGCCCATAAGTCTGGTTTATCTGCTAGAAAGTTGTCTGCACTGCAATTATGACTGTATCGATGTGAGGTCGGTGTCTTGTCTAATGCATTTGAGTCTGAAGCACTGAAGTTTGCATAATCAACTTTCGCATGCGCGAAATTCAGTGCTGCGCTAAGCTAGACACTTTCTGAAGCAGATAGTTACTCCACTCGTACGTTTTGATTGGTCTGCCCTCAGTTTTGAAAACTAACTAACTTCGCTGCCACTTATTTCGGAAGTTAATCATGATTCCGTAAAGATTGTGACATCCGGGTCCTCATGATCTACCACACTATTGAGCCTAGTCAACTAATCCAACACACTGCAAGAACTAGTGTAGCAAACTGATAGTTCAGTTTGTTGCTTTAATGTCCCACTCACTGTGGTTCGGGAACCATCAAACAGGGAGTTTCACTACCTATTTACACTTAATAACTAGGTTTATCTAGCAGTTGTGGTTCCTATCGCTTGACTACAATGTTACAGACTGTCTTTTGATTAGGTCTGGTGGGTATAATGCAGCACGGGTGTAGGGGGAACAAGGACAAAACATGAAAGTTAACTAGATATAGGAGATTGCCCAGAGTGGATGCGTCTTTTCACTGATAACGATTCGGAGTCACATCTCCACCTAACATTGTAAGCATAGCCCCAACACTACTTCCCACATTATGCTACTTGACACAAATGATTGGGTACAGACACCTACAACCAAACGCCAGTAGTATTTTCGAATCTCCTGGCTTCAATGGTCACTTCTCACAACCCAGGTGGGCAATGCCGTCAGCATACTCTAGGTTGACGAGATTGTTCCCTGGTTAGTCCCTGAAGTCAATGACAGGCGACCCTATGAGTACATGTATGGTGAAATTAAGCTAAAATAAGGACGACAGTTGCAGAAATGAGCCTTGTATTACATTTTTCCTGAAAATATGAGTTCCCCCATAATTTAGTTTCAGTATTAAGTGAGTAGAATGCAGTCTATGGAATTCATGAAATCCACAAAATTAAATAACACTTTTCAAAAACACTAGCTAATGTCCACTCAGTAAAGTGAGAAATGGGTATTGTGGTTGTGTAAACTTAATAGAATGTGAACTGCTGCCAATGAAAATGATAACAATTCGAGGATTTGTGAGTTATAATGTTAGCTTGATCGCAACATTCAACAGTTGTTAAATGACCACTTGACGAACATCAGATCTATACAGAAAGTACATAAGATTCAGTAAAACATATACACTTTTGATTTCACCACGAAGTCTCCATGCCAAATATATTACTGTGAGGGCCTACACAATTCACAAATTAACTCGTAGCACTAAAGTGGAAAAACTTCTACTTTTCCTTACTCAACTTAATATAGAGAGCCTTGTGAATTATTTCTTGTGTTATTAACTTTCTCCTTCAGAAGAGAGGATCAAGGCACTCGTAATCTTTTGCTAGATGTGGAATTGAAGTGCGACTCAATGCGCAAGTGTTGGTTTTGTAGGGATTTATTTTTATTTCATATTCAACAGGAACCTCATAGACTGACTCTGAAGTTATCCGAGACAGTTTACTATCATGTAACT